AAAAAGAGTTGTCCAAAATTAAAACGTAGCATTAGGGCCTGCCATATGTTTAGAGAAAATTATTAATTCTCACTCAAAAGATGGTTAAAAAATAATTAAAATGCCCATTGAAAAGGCACCAATCTAATAGTTGTTTAGTGGAGAAAGATTGAAGAGAAAGATTGACACGCGCACACAAAAAGATATTGCAACATAAAAAAAATAAAAATGAAGTCAAATGGCATCACTCTATAAGAAAAAAACTTGTTCACTAATGGGGCAAGCAATTTTCAACTGCAAAAGTGAAAGTTGAATAAATTCTCTGAATTTAGAAGTGGCAATCTATCAAACTGGAATTTATTATTGCTATTGGTGTTGGTCCCCTAATAGATGGACTCTTCACTTTTCAAAAAGATTTATGTTATTTCTTTTTCTTTCTGCCAAATCTTGATTGACTTTCTGTGAAGAACATCATCAAACAATTGCCAATCCTTCAGGGCACTATGGCATTGGCATTTATGCACCCATAATGCAGGCACAAGAGAAAGTGCTTCACCTTAAAGAAAGTGGTCACTAATCACTTTTAAAATCAATGAGACAACATTAGTGACATGATACCAAAGACCACCCTATATATAATACTATGTGCCAACTGAATAACAACACATTTACCATTGAATTTGATCTTTCTTCATATTTATACATACACCATATATTGATATATACACACACATCAATATAAAGAAGAAGTAGTTCCTGCTTGCAACCTTGCATTGGTGCAAGGAAAATGATTTTAGATTCAATAGCACTCCATATGTTGAAATGGTATAAGAAGCAGGACTCACCAATCCAACATGTGATAGGATTGATTTTTAATTTTTTTTTTTTTAAAAAAGGCCAACAACTCGTCATGGTTGAATCGTGGAATCAGATGGGTGACTGTCTTGCTAGCAAACCTCTTGGTGCAAGTAGATGGTATTACACAAAGCAACTATGGTAAAGAAACAATGATGGATTTTTGGGCTTCGTGACTAGGATCAAAAATATGAATTTGGCTCATCTCTTGTACACTAGACCGTTCAACGTACAAGAGAGGATGGAGATCGGTAGAGTGACTGAATTTTACGTACATTCTTTAAAATACGAGACTTTTTGGCCAACCGTACATGGGTTCATGTGGGGCCGATGCAAATGCTTCCAGTTCGGTTCGTTGTGAAGGATGACTAGAAAGAAAGTAGCGTGCTCACTAATTGACATGAATGGATATCAGAAAAAGAGTGAATTTTACCGACAGAGTGAACTCCATTTTCTGTGAATGATCGCAAATGATGTAAACAACGTAAAATCTAAATTCCAAAAGCATGGTATATAATTAACATACGAGTGCAACTAAAAGCTATTCCATTTTGAGAAAATGACACAAAATTTGATGGAAGATGAGGAAGCGTTTGGATTCAAAGATCTAAAAGAAATAGTACTAGATATTTTACTTCCATGTACACACCATGAACCAAAAACCCTCTCTCGAGTGTGCTTGTGCTCCAACTGTGCGCCAAAGTGGATTTTCTCATTGTGGTCCCTTTGCTCTCTTGTGGAGGAGGTCCACATGTGTCTCTTAGGGCATTGAGAGGGCAACAAAATAATTATGCGAAAATGACTCAGAGGGGGCAGTTGAAACCCATTCTATTTTGCTATAAACATATAACTCTAGGAGTCCATTCCATTCCGGAACAAACAACAAATGCAGACACACTGTTACACGTGTCAAACCATTCCTCCTCTCTTCATCATCTTGCACTCGCCTTGGAATCTTGGCTTGCAACAAACTTTGATAAACATAACCTCCACTAGTTAAGTTGGACAAGATAATGCCTTGTGAATTAGATGTGACTCCGAATTTTTCAGGGAATTTTATGATATATTGCGCATGTGATGTGAGCATTTGTCCTAATTTGTCCCCCCCTGAATTTTTTTCTTTTTTTGTAATTTAGCCTTGTTAATTTGATTTTTTCATTGCCCCCATGAAATTACTAAAAAATTTCATTATTGTCTCCCCTCACCTTATTTTTTGTCTCTCGTCCCTAATTGTGTCATTTCTTCTTTTTGTTCGGTCGGATGAAAGCTAAGAGAATAAGCTTATAAATTATCATGGCCCCACTTGTCTTCCCTCCTCTCTTCCTCCCATAATTAAAAGGATGAAAATTTATAAAGGAAGAAAGATCACTCATCTATTTTATTATCATTTCTTTTTTTGTCTCTTCTTTACTAAACAAATGAATTTTGTCCTTCCTTCCTTCCTACCCAACAATTCATAATAAAAAAAACCGTTACATTATTCTTTCTCTGCTACAACTAAAATATCAAACAAAATATATGACAGAGCCATATCCAAGACCATGTTGCCACGCGCGAAAGGGACACCAGAGCATGAGCCACACGATTACCTGGTGTAAAATAGAAGAGACCGATAGCCATGAGAAAGCATCCAACCGATAGCCATGAGAAAGCATCCAAATCAGCCTTGACGTTAGATGATCGAGAAAATATCCATAAAATAGCTGTGATCTCCATCCATGGCCTCAACTTCAACTTCCTCATCATTTTCAAACAAAATAGCCGAAAAATTCAATGAACGACCCCAACATAAGGTGGAGACACCTTAACGCAAAATGTGAACTTGAAAAATGAAACCTTACATGTACCAATCATTCATGTTTCCACCTTTCTAAAACTTAAAATCTAGTTTTGTTCATATTTCTAATTATTTTACGGAGCGTATTTTGTGTCGCGTGTATATTGTTAGTGTAATGCATTATATTATAGTGCAACAAATACATTAAAAAAATTATTACATAAACGATATAATAATGTAAAATTGTGGCCTAAGTGTTCGCGACGCGAAAGACGATTTGAATTTCCATCCTTAACCCTATTGATGAATTTAAAGGGATATTACCCCAAATTTGGTTTTACCATAGTGGAGTAAAGACAACCCAAACCAAATATAACCTGTTTTAGTCTCAAGCTCGCACCTTATTGAAAAAAATACATATGTATATACAACTCAATTCAACAGAATAAACTTCTCACTCATTTTCAACTCTTAAAATTTAAACAAGTCAAATGTGACAGTCAATGTAAAGGTAGTGTCCATTGTCCAATCAAATGATAAAAAATAATAATAATAAATAAATTGTAAATGATAGAGCTTCTTGAAAACTCAGTACTATGTAGGGTTGCCCCATTAAAAATTTAATAGTAGAAATACGGTTTGTGACTCATGGGGTCAACCACTTTTAGGGTCCTCCAATAGTATAGGAAGGATCATGTGTGAACAGAACAAAGAGGCCCTGTTTGGTATTTGAGAAAAAGTGGATGAAAAGGTTGCAGAAAGTGAACAAGGAGGGTGGAAACAAAACATCATATCAAATCAAACAACTTTTTAACCTGTGTGTTATGAATAATTAGGAGAGATGTAAACCTTTCGATGATGGGAGGGCCCATCATCACAATGACTTACCTCCAATGCTTTAAGATTCCAAACCCTAAGTTGATGATGAATGGTATGTGTGTGGTGGTGGGTGCCATGAGGGTATTCTTCCCGTCACATTCAACCTTTACAAATTGAAGCGACCCCACTTCTCACTTGTGATTTATCAACTGTGAAATAGTATAATTTAAAGAAAAATTAAAAGGAAAGGATTAATTTGAATCCTTAATGTTTGATCTGGTTGGTATAATCTCTACTATTTATAAATAAATAAATTTAGAACTCGTTTGAGATTGTAGTGGAATTAGGTATGGGTTTTGTTTTGGTATTTAAAAGGAAAGGATTAATTTGAATCCTTAATGTTTGATCTGGTTGGTATAATCTCTACTATTTATAAATAAATAAATTTAGAACTCGTTTGAGATTGTAGTGGAATTAGGTATGGGTTTTGTTTTGGTATTTTTGTTTTTGTCTGTGAATAATGAAAAATTATGTTTGGTAAAATATGTTTTATTTTGTACCGTGTTAAAACATTTAGTGAATAATGACAAAAAATTAAAATCTCAAATTGGTGTTTTGGTTGTTGGTCAATTATTCACGAAGCGTGGTGTTTTAATTTTTGGTCATTATTCACGAAACGTTTCGACACTGTTTTACGTGTTTCAGCACTACAAGAACAAGTAAAACAATAATGAACAATAAGTGTGTATATATATATTTTCTTAAATGACATTTTAAAAATAATTATTATATTTTTTAAACTTATTGCCACTTTTTTACCAAACATATTTTTATGTTTTTATTTAAAAAAATCTTACAACAAATTAACATTACCAAACGTACTACCAGATCACTATTCAAAACACTCTATATTTTGCTTTGGTTAAAGCAAAACGTCAAAAACAAAAAGTAATGATAGGGGAACCGAAAATGAATCACCAAATTAATATCGAATTTGATGTGGTTGGCCATTCTTATTCAAACAAAAAGCGAACCAAATTGGGCCCTAACAAGATTACTTTTTACTCTAAGACTCTGTCTATATCCACATAAAATATCTTCTTCAAAAAAATATTTTTTATATATAATATTTTCAGGTAAAATATTTATTATTTTATTTTTCATTGCTTTACAAAAGTACAAACTACTTTTATTAGATTTTGATAGAATATTTATTTTACTTAAATTTTGGACAATTAAACACAAATAATAATAATAATAATAAAATTTTTACATAAAAACAACGAAGTCTTTGCACATAAATTGATCTGAGTTAGCTCAATATTTGATTGAATTAACCAAATCTTGATAACTGTTACATGCTCAAGAATGGGTCATTTTACAAGCAAGCAGATAGTGACAGCTAGGTGTCGTTGTTGGCCCACTCAAAGCAAGTGGACACGGCATCTCTCTCTCTCACTTCACTCCATACCTTTCTCTGTCTAACAAAAGCATGATTGCAAAAGCTCCAAGGAGTGAGAGTGAAACAGCAAGATCTCAAATGTATAGAATCTATACTCATCACCTATTCGCTGTTCCTTCCAATGCCCCCATTTTCGGGCCCACCCAACACCAACACCACCACTACCAACGGCGTACCACTCCCAGTACCAGCAACAACAAACCAACAGCGACTTCTCTACTTAAATCCCATGGATATTATATATACATATTCATATTCATATACACACCCACATAAATATATTACTCAATTCCATTTTTTTATTCTATTTGAGAAAGTTTTGAAGGGTAATAATATTATTATAACTTATATATAGTATACACTTGTGTTCGCCGGCGATGCCAACGCCGGTTACTACAGCCAGGCAATGCTTGACCACGGAGGCGGCGCAAGCCCTCGACGACGCCGTCACCGTCGCGCGCCGCCGTGGACACGCTCAGACCACGTCGCTCCACGCGGTGTCCGCGCTTCTCTCGCTTCCGTCCTCGGCGTTGCGGGAGGCGTGTGGTCGAGCTCGGAACAGTGCGTACTCGTGTAAGATTCAGTTCAAAGCTCTCGAGCTCTCGTTAGGGGTTTCTCTGGACCGCCTTCCTTCGTCGCCGCAACGGGTCGACGAGCCTCCGGTGTCGAACTCGCTCATGGCGGCCATAAAGAGGTCTCAGGCGAACCAGAGACGACAGCCGGAGAATTTTCAGTTGTATCATCAGCAGCAACAACAACAACAACAGTCGTCGACGTCGGCGATTTCGATGGTGAAGGTTGAGCTTCAGAATCTGATTCTATCGATTCTCGACGACCCGGTCGTAAGCCGGGTCTTCGCCGAAGCGGGCTTTCGGAGTTGTGACATCAAGCTAGCTATTCTTCGACCCGTTCATCAACTTCTCCGTTATTCACGTTACAAGGGTCCACCTATGTTTCTCTGTAATTTGACTGACGATTCCGATCTAGGTCGTCGGGGTTTTAGCTTTCCGTTCCTGGGTTCTTCTGGGTTTTTCGGCGGAGATGAGAATTGCAGAAGAATTGGGGAAATCCTTGTGAGGAAGAAGGGGAGGAATCCTCTACTCGTCGGTGTTTGCTCCAACGATGCCCTGCATCGTTTCCTGGAGATTATTGAGAGAAAAAGAGGTGTACTGCCCATAGAAATCTCTGGATTGAATTCGATTTGCGTCGAAAACGACATTTCAAAGTTTGTGACTGAGAATTCTGAGGAGTGGGTAGTGAAGCTGAGATTCGAGGAGGTGGGTCGAATGGTGGAACACTGTGTAGGAGCTGGTGTGATTGTAACTTATGGAGATTTGAATGCATTGATTGGTGACAATGCTTCAGTTTCTACTGTGAGCTGTGTTGTTGGTGAATTGACGAGGTTACTGGATGTTCATGGTGAGAAGGTGTGGTTGATTGGAGCTGCAGCTAGTTACGAAACGTATTTGAAGTTTTCGAATGTGTTTCCCTCCATTGAGAAAGCTTGGGATTTGCAGCTTCTACCCATCACTTCTCTTAGGCCTTCCATGGGAGAATCATACCCCAGATCCAGGCAAGTGTCCATTGTGCTGTTTGGTGTTATTAGTTATGCATTGCAGTGTCAAGCTTGGTGTGTGTATGTGTGTGTTTCATTAAGTTATAATAATTTATTTTGTGAATCAAAACTTTTCATTGTCATATTCATCTCTGTGTTCTATAGTTTTTAACTTGAACTATGAATAATTGTAAATTTTAGCCGATTGCGTTTGTAAATGCATGATTAGAAGTATCCTGCTCTGTTCCGATCTTTTGGTAGGATGTCATATATCAACAACCACAAAGGTAAAATAAGGTGCGTCTTTTGATTATTTGAGGTGAATTTATCTTTAGTTATCATGTGTATTAATTTTGTCACAGATTTAACATTACTTTTGGTTGGGATTTTTCGTGGTCAATGAATGCTTTTGTGTAACCTTTTAAATGTGTAGTGCGTGAGCAGATTTAAATTATGTCAAAAGGGCTGGTGATTGTTAAAAAGAGAAACCTTTCATACTCATCAATTTGATCACTTGATGTTTGACTTGAATTTTTTTCTTTTACATAAAGAATTGTTGTCATTAAGTTTTTAAAAAATGATTAAATTATGAAAAATCGAATTCAAGTTTTCAATGATAAGAAAAAAATATTAATACTGTGGTTCATTTGAAGGTATCTTATAATTATATACATACCCAAGTTTGAATATGTACATACGTGTATATATTTGTCTGCTTGTGTATTTATATGCAAGAATACATATACACGTGTATATTGATATTTGCAGTTGACATATCATAGGATTTCTTGAAGCTTCACTAAAAAATTAATGATTTTCATGAAGTTCTCCATGACTACTCTGTTTTTACCCTCATCAGTACATAATGCATCAGTTTGACCTAGGCATTCCCCTTTTTTTTTTAAGCATGATTGGGCATCCATACTCTCTCTTTAATGCCAATATACTAGTCTGTTAAGGCACAAAAAATACACTTTTTCCATTACATATTACCTATCATGTGTTTTAACAGCCGTATTTTTTGTGTCAGAAGCTTGTAAATCAACATATACTTACCACCACATAAAGTATGTATTTAATAGATTGTATTTCACTGACCAGCACTATATTATTTTAAAATGAAAACGTTGGATCCTGTATAATTAATTCAAGCTTGGTAAAGTGGATGGAAAGGAGAGGGAAGAGAGTGGGAAGAGCGAGCCTCGAGTGTAGCTCTGTGACATATTGTAACTTCATGATGAACATAACCATATACCCTCGGTTTTGACCATATGCACTTGTAGGAAATTTGATTTCTGCGGAACTGTTACGTGCTTTTTTTGCACAAGAGGCATCAACAATTTGTTAAGACAACTACCATTTCATCCTTCAGGTTAAGAGAGGGTTGAGAATAAGTTTAATTCATCCAACTATTGATTAACCATCATAGTGCTTTCCCTGTGATATTATAAATTCTTCTCTCATTGATTTAGTTTTATGAAATTTCTCTTTAGTTCTTTTTATGAATACTTTTGGACCAGCCATATATACTCTCTGCCAGTGTTCATTTTGACTTATGACCATCCTGTGCCCATTGGATCTCACGGTTCCATGCTCATGATATACTTGCAGTTTGATGGAGTCCTTCGTTCCTTTCGGTGGGCTCTTTTCTGCACCTTCTGATTTGAAGAGCCCATTAAGCAGCTCAAATCAATCTAGCTTGCCTTCCTGGTTGCAGATGGCTGAACTCGGCGCAAGCAGGGGATTAGATACGAAGGTGTGTTGTCATAAAGTTATTTCGGTTATCTGATCTGGGGTCACTTTCCCCTTGACCCAAGAAATATTTGCTTATGCTTGTTGGCTCTGATGATGACCTCAACTGTGCCTTTAAAGATCAACTCTAGTTGTAAAATATATCACATTTCCGAAAAGTAGATGTCTCAATGTGAGATATTGCTATTCGTGCTTCTAAAAGCAGGGAGACACAGATTTGATTGGGTGAGCTTCTGGTCTTATTGTTTGCCCATAAACGCCATTTGAAATTATGATTTTCTAATAATATATTAAATTGTAAGGTGGAGTGAAAACTGAAGGGTTTTAATGGAAAAGTTACTTTGAAAAATTGTTAAATGAAAACATCTAGGAAGTTTAGGCTTAGAAGAATATGATAACCTTAGGGACAACTAAGATCAAAGAGTGCGAGGTTAAAAATGTACTAAGTAAGATGAAATTAGGAAGGGTTTTAGGATCATATGACATTCTTAAGTGTTTGGCGGATGGTGGCATATCTTGGCTAACAAAATTGTTTCATAAGATAATAACAACTAAGAGAATGCCTGATGAGTGCTGCAAAAATATTATAATACCTATATATAAAAAATAAAGGGGAGATACAAAGTTGTCATAATTATTGTGGTATTAAATTTAATGAGTCAAACTATAACTTCGAGAGAGAGTGATTGAACAACTAAGACTAGAAACTGAAAAATCAATCTGGATTCATGCCGGGGAGGTCAACGATGGGTCTATTTAGTTATTGAGGATTCTAATGGAAATATATAGAGAGAAGAAGGAAGAAAAAAGATCTTCATATGATTTTATTGATTTAGAGAAAGCGTATGACGGGGTACCTAAAGGATATATGATGGAAGTGTAACTATAGTTAAAATGTCTGGAGGAAATAGATAAATCTCAAATTATTATATGCTTACATCAAGGTTTAACATGAAACCCATATCTTTTTGCCTTTTATTATTGATGAACTCTCAAGATGCATTCACGATGATCCCATGGTGTGTGTGATTTGCTGATGCTATTTTTTTTTAATCGACGGAAACTAGAGAACGAGGAAGTGCTAAATTGCAGGTTTGGAAGGAAGCTCTAGAATTAAAAAGGCTTTAAGATAAGCAAGAATAAAAGTGAATATATAAAGTGTAATTTTAGTTGGGAAAAGGCTTGGTTGTTGATGTTGTTTATATAAAGTGTAACTTTAGTAAATCTAGAAATACAAATAGGGACGAACTGGAGATTGAGGATCAAGAGATACAAAAAGGTGAAAGTTTTGGCAATTTAGGCTCAACTATTGAAATGAAGGAGATATTGGAGATGGCACGATGTGTTAAATGGACGGTGTAATATATTATGTGATTGGCGTATTTCCAAAGATTGAAATGAATTTTTTTTTTTTTTTTTTTTAAATTAACTATTTGACCATCCATTATTTATGGCACAAAATGTTGGATGACTAAGGACTAACATGTGCATGCGACAAAAATGCAAATGTTGAGATGGATGTGCGGCAATACAAGAAAATGCTGAGTTAGAAATGGACACATTTGTGAGGTGGTTGAAGTTGCACCAATTGGAGATAAAGTGAGAAAATCATTTAGAATGTTTCAAATATGTAAAGAAAGTCATTAAGTGCACCAATTCGGAAGAGTGACATTGTCCGCATTAACCCTGATGTTAGGGGAAGGAAAAGACCAAGATTAATACGTGTAGAGTTGGTAAAAAAAAGTAATGGTAACATTTGACAAGACTGAGGTTTTGACATTAGATAGATTGGAGTGAAAACATATGATTGATATAGCTGACCCCAAGTAGTTGGGAAAGAGGGTTTGTCGAGTTTGAGTTGAATATTAAATTGCAAGGTGGGTAAATCTATATAATTTACCTTTTAAACCTAGATGAATCTTTTTGTAGGTAACCATGAATTATGTAGCAGCATATCCACTAAATTTAAAAACAAAAAAATACTTTATGATATTCATTAAAAACTGGTTTCCCCCTCTCCAGTGCAGGCCGAAGATAATGGCTTGGGATTGAGCGCTAAAGCCGCAGGGCTGCGAAAGAAATGGGACAATAGCTACCAGCTTCTTCATCATACTCAACGAATACCAAAGGCAGATACTTATCAAGTGGGTTTTCAAGTTCCTACTGTTACAAACTTTCATGTTGTTGATGACAAAAAGGAAAATGCTGATAATCACAACAACAATAATAGAAATGCATCTTCAAATGCAAGTGAGCAGAAAAATGTAAATTCATGCCTATCAGCAGATTTGCAAAAAAATTCTAGCTCAAAACCTAGCCTTCAGTTGCCTGAGGTTTCAAAGACTACGGATGAGAATTTCACATTTAAACTTTGCAAAAAAAATTCAATAACTGAAAACCTTGAGTTGGGTGATCTCAGTTGTTCCCCTTTGAGTTTGTCCAATTCAAGTGTTGGTTATGATCACGCATCTCCAACCTCTGCAACATCTGTAACTACTGATTTAGGTTTGGGAATATGCTCTACATCTATCAGCAGGGAATTGAACAAACCTACGAATCAGAGTCGCATAGATTTTCTACAAAATTTATCAGGTTGCTGTTCAGTCGGTGTTGATTTGGTTACTCCAAGTACCTTGAACAATCCAGCTCAATCTTCAGGCTTCTCATGTCCTGATTTGAACTGGCAGCTTGATCAAAGTGATTTCAAGACTCTTCACAGGGCACTCAGTGAATTGATCAGCGGGCAAGAGGAAGCTGCAAGTGTTATTTGCCAAACAGTAGCTCGCTGCAGAACAAGAAATGAAAAGCACTATGGGGCAAGTCTAAGAGGAGATATATGGTTCAGTTTCCTTGGACCTGATGATTTTGGTAAGAAGAGAGCTGCCATTGCTCTTGCTGAAACATTATATGGAAGCAGCAACAACTTTTTCTGTGTGGATCTAAGTTCCCAAGATGGAACAATCCATACAAACACCATATATGATTGCAGAGAGATGAATGGTTATGATGTAAAGTTCAGAGGGAAGACTGTTGTTGATTACATTAGTGGAGAATTGAGTAGGAAACCTTGGTCTGTTGTTTTCCTTGAAAATATAGACAAGGCTGATCTGCAGGCTCAGAATAGTTTATCCCAGGCAATGAGGACCGGTAGAATTTCAGACTCACATGGAAGAGAAGTGAGCATCAACAATGCGGTTTTTGTGACAACCTCGAGATTCACTAAAGGTAATAAAATTCTCTCTTTTGCAAAGGAAACCAGCACCTATTCTGAAGAAAGAATATTAAAAACGAAAGGATGGCCAATTCGGATTTTAGTCGGTCGTGCTCTTGGGGAAATCACCATCAGCCATGACTCGAGTGTGTTGAATAGTACAAGAAAAGGCATCTCAAACCCGATCTTTCTGAATAAAAGGAAGTTAATTGGTACTAGTGAGACCGCGGAAGAGCATGAAACCTCAGAAACAGCCAAAAGGGGGCACAAAATGTCAAACTCGTATCTGGACTTGAACATCCCTGCCGAGGAGATTGAGTTGTGCAACAATGATAATTGCAACTGTAGAACCGATTCCATCTGTGAAAACTCAAATGCATGGTTGGAGGATTTTATTGAACAGGTGGATGGAGCAGTGGTTTTCAAGCCATTTGATTTTGATGCACTTGCTGAGAAAATACTAAAGGAGATTAGTGAGTGCTTTCACAAGATCGTTGGTTCTGAGTGCTTGCTAGAAATCGACTCGAAAGTCATGGAGCAGTTTCTTGCAGCTGCTTGTGTATCAGACAATAACAAAGTGAAAGATTGGGTCAAGCAGGTCCTTAGCAGAGGATTTCTAGAAGCCCAGAAGAGGTACAACCTCACAGCTTCCTCTGTCGTGAAACTCGTTATTTGCGAGGGCATGTTCTTGGAAGAACAAGAACCAGGAGTTTGCCTCCCAGCTAGAATTATTATGAACTGATGTACTTATATATAGTTTTCTCTTGTATTTAGATGTATAATTAGAATTTTAGCATGGATAAACCTTGTTTAGCCTGTCAATCCCATGTTTTGTTGGATTTTTTCAGGTTGTATTTGTGTAATATAGTATAGACTGCATTACATGATGTGTGATTTTCTTCATAGGTCTGCGCCAATTGTCTTCTTAGTTGTAGCTGAATCAGCTGATTCATGTTCAATAACATAATTTGCTTGTGCTGGTGTACACGCTCATAAACGTGGTTGAAATTTGTGAAATCTCATTCAGGAAAAAAAATAAAAATTGTGAAATGGTTCTCTTGATCTCCATTGACCTAGATCAAACATGGTTCCAAGAGAAGAGTACATGTAGAACTTGGTTCAATATGAATTGGGAACGAAGTTGTTGTGATGCATTTACACACTAATGTGGCCTCCCACAAGCAGGTGTAAATACTGTCAGCTTTGCACTCTTCATGCTCTTGGCAAGGCCATGGAATGAGACGTCACAACAAGTTGGGTCAAGAAATTTGGACATTATACAAATTTTAATTCATTTATTAGATGTCTAGAGAATTTGAAACAGATTTTTAATTATCATAAAACACTTTGTTAATTGCAAAAAGACCTCACCTACAATTAGATTTTTGGAACTAACTCTTGAACTAAAATTTATGCTAAATGACCCTCTTAATCCATCTAAAAGTTGTTAAGAAACTTATTGTTGCCCGACTAACAAATTTTATCTAAAATTACGATTAATTTGAATTTGCTTGGTTAAGTTCTTGAAAATAATCATGAAAAAATAATACTCCGAACAGTTTTAGAGTTCTACAAAAGACAATATTTATATTCATGCATTTTTTTAATTAAATTTTTTTTTTAAAAAAAAAAAGAAAAGAGAAAAGAGGGGAAAAAAAGAAAAAGAAAAAGAAAAAGGAAAGAAAAGTTTTCAAAACACTAACTACCAAACAAACTTTTGAACAATTTTCGACTTCTTTTAATCTTTCATTTTAAAATTATTCTCAGAAAATGAACTAAATAAACTTTTTTTTTTTTTTTCTTTTCACTTTTTATGATATATATATTTTGAAAATTGCAAGTGAAGTACCTTTTTCCTTTGAAAATCATAAACATGCCCTAGTTTTTGATACTTCAAATAGGCCAAGGGCATTCATCTCCTTTTTGACGCGCAGACCTAACGGACAAACAGTCCCTCTTTCTCTCTCTTCTCTTCTCTTCTCTTTCTACACCCACCCGAATCTCGAATCCGCATATGTTTCAAAACACTTGAATCCATCCGATCCCTTTGAGATCTCAGTCACCATGGAAATGCCTTCAATTTCTTCGAGCCCTCGAACTGTCGAAGAGATCTTCAAAGATTACAGCGGTCGTCGTGCTGGCGTCATTCGTGCCCTCACCTACGGTACTTTTTCACACACACATGTATCCTTACAATCCCTGATTTCAATGTACACATGTGTTGATTTAACCTAACGAATCACTTCTTTCACATCTCAGATGTCGACGAGTTCTATACACTCTGCGATCCAGGTTAATCTCAAAGTTTTTTGTTCCGCTCTCTCTATATATAAATTTTGTATATATATATGTATTTATGTGTGGGTGTGATTTTTTTTTTTAGCTTTCTTAGATTTGGATTGGATTAGTTATGATTTTCTTAATCTCTAGAAAAGGAGAATTTGTGTTTGTACGGACACTCGAATGAGAGTTGGGAAGTGACTCTGCCGGCTGAGGAGGTTCCGCCGGAGCTTCCAGAGCCAGCGTTAGGTATCAATTTCGCCAGAGATGGGATGAAACGTAGAGACTGGCTTTCGTTGGTAGCTGTGCATACTGATTCTTGGTTGCTCTCTGTTGCTTTTTATTTCGGAGCACGCCTTAATCGCAACGAAAGGTATATTTTTCTTCCAATTAATTTTATGTATTGGGTTTTGCTTGGTATATTGATGTTTAAATTATAGGGGTACATAGCATTCATTTCAGATCCAGATATTAATACTATTGTATAGTAGTGAGTTAAAATTTCAATAAACTTCTAAATATGTATATGTTTTATCAGTTTCCTTTTACTTACCTAATTGTTGGATTTAAGTTGGTCAAAATTTACTGCTGTTAGTTTATCTTAGATATACTGTGGAATGATGGATGTTTGAAGGTATCACCAAAGCTCCATTGGAATTGTGCATAATGGCCAGTTCAACTTTTACTCCTCCTCCTTTGGACCTTGACCAGTTGGGGTTGTTCGCTTGACACATTGATCCTCTAGTATTTTCTTTATACCTAGAGCTTTTTTGAATCTCCTTTATACTTGGGGGTTGTTCTGCATAATAGCCAATTCGACCTGGCGGTCCTGGCTTGCTTGACAAATTTTAGCATTCATTTCTCTTTTGGAACAAAGTTCATCCTCTTCGTCCACACACGCACATACTTGCTGGATAAAGACTTTCCAAAGCCTTTACAACTAAGGATTTTATCATTGTATTAGAGAGACCTATTTATAGTGCATCATCTCATGGTTGAGATCGAAGCAGACCATAAACCAGCGGACAAGATCGAGGCTCCAGAATATTCCTACTTTCTCAAGGATTCTTTTATAATTCTCTAAAAAGATATCTTGTCCGAGAAATGCTTGTGTGACACTGACAACTAGATGACCCAACTAACTCATAATTTGCATGGGATGTGACATGAGGATCAGCATAGTTGGAAAACCTTCCTTGGAGAGTTGTTATAGTATGAAGGGAAGGAAAAACATAAATTATTTAAAAGATTTGAGAAACAGAAGTTTTCTGGCCAGTGTCATTTAGAAGACTTACAATTGGCTGTTGTAGGCAATTTTCTTGTAGCCTCTAAGTAGGCCATGATGGGGCTTGTGAGGCGGACCATCAAGCGTGTAGTGTGTTGCCTAAACCCTAAGCCAGTTCCTTTGTACTTTATGTAAGAGAAGTAATATAAAGTTTGAACTCGTCTTGCAACTCATGCGCTTTTCTCCCTTTTTGTGTTGTGTGCTGGCGTTTGGCTGAGACTTGGTGTGACCAAGTGCCATTACAAAGGCAAAAAGTTATAGGTTGGTCTACTCATTTTGGTTTTTGCATCCATCTGTCCAAGAATCAACATTCATGGGGGATGGCTAGGGATCCTTTATTCCACCAATCAGGTGATTATTTGATTTTATAAGTTGATGGGAGTGTGTGTGTTCTCTGTGTGTGTGTGTGTGTGGAAATTCTTGAGTATTTCAGAAAATTCAGAAGAAAAGAAAATATCGTGAAGGATTTCATGGCACTGATCCACTTTGCTTTTGTGGAAAATTGATCCAGATAGCCACTTTTGACAAATTTAATTATAGTCAATCCTTAGCTAAGTTGGTCTCACTGCAGTAAACCCAACTTGGTCTTATTTAAATATCTCAGCAGTTCAAGCTTCTCCCTTTTTGTGTTGTGTGCTGGCGTTTGGCTTAGACTTGGTGTGACCAAGTGCCATTACAAAGGCAAAAAGTTATAGGTGGGTCTACTGATTTGGTTTTTGCATCCATCTGTCCAAGAATCAACATTCATGGGGGGATGGCTAGGGATCCTTTATTCCACCAATCGGTTGGTTATTTGATTGTATAGGTTGTTGGGAGTGTGTGTGTGTGGAAATTCTTGAGTATTTCAGAAAATTCAGAAGAAAAGAAAATATCGTGAAGGATTTTGTGGCACTGATCCACTTTGCTTTTGTGGAAAATTGATCCAGGTAGCCACTTTTGACAAATTTAATTATAGTCAATCCTTAGCTAAGTTGGTCTTACTGCAGTAACCCAACTTGGTCTTATTTCAATATCTCATCCGTTCAAGCTCCAACTATATATTTGAATTGTACCAAGGGAAGTAGATATCTTTTGTTCAAGATTGAGAGTGAGTTGATGCTGTGTTCCATGAATGTTGATTCTTGGACAGATGGACGCAAAAACCAAATGAGTAGACCCACCTATAACTTTTTGCCTTTGTAATGGCACTTGGTCACACCAAGTCTTAGCCAAACGCCAACACACAACACAAAAAGGGAGAAGCTTGAACGGCTGAGATATTTAAATAAGACCAAGTTGGGCTAGGGATCCTTTATTCCATCAATTGGCTGGTTATTTGATTTTATAAGTTGTTGGGAGTGTGTGTGTGTGTGTGGAAATTCTTGAGTATTTCAGAAAATTCAGAAGAAAAGAAAATATCGTGAAGGATTTCGTGGCACTGATCCACTTTGCTTTTGTGGAAAATTGATTCAGGTAGCCACTTTCGATAAATTTAATTATAGTCAATCCTTAGCTAAGTTGGTCTTACTGCAATAACCCAACTTGGTCTTATTTCAATATCTCAGCCGTTCAAGCTCCAACTATATATTTGAATCTTTCCAAGGGAAGTAGATATCTTTTGTTCAAGATTGAGAGTGAGTTGATGCTGTGTTCCAAAAGCAGGAGAAATTCATGCATAGAGGATTTGTCTGTGTGTCTTTTCATCATGTTGCAACGTCTGAGTTCCTATTTCCCAATGTGTACCAAAAATAATTTGCATCACTTTGGTGGGTTTTTTCTTTATATCTTTAGTCCTAGTGATTCTCAGCCTCTGATTTCACTGGGATTGATCCTTTACCTTTCCGGAGTCAATTATAGTGTCTATTCAATAAAAACACATTTTTATAGTTATAATCGTATTTGAACTCTTCAACTCTTCTGTGAGATGATCAATCCATTAAATCAATCATGTGAACTTTATTCCATTATATTCCAAAGGGCCTCTAAGTCGAACTTACTTTTTATGATCTTCAAGTAAATTTTAATTATAATCTTCAGTACTGTCTTCCCAAATATATCAACATGCAAATCGACTTGACCGACAGGAACAGACTGACCCAATCTTTCATTTGACTAAAGAAATTACATCATCTTTTTTACCACAAAAATTATTAACAGATTGACACCAAGTCCTAACACCTTCGCCAATGATATTTAGGTTCTGAAGACATCATGAGGAGTTTTTTATGTTCAAACTTCTTTCTGGGTTAAGTTTCTTTCTTCAAATAAGGCAGATTTTTAGTTGGTGATAGTAATACATCTCCCCTGAGTAAAGTTTATGCATGATTACTACATGCATTAACTTATTCTTCAGTCTCTATTGGAATTAGGTGGTAAAAGGGGTTCTATTGGGGGTCATGGTACTTGTAGAAGGGGCCCACAATCCTATATTTGCTTCAAAGTTCAAATTGATGTTTTTGGTTGTTCCAAAGGTTGTGGTAGAGGTCGTATACAAAGTCATGATCACAGTCATTAATTGCGAAGGAGAGATTCATACAATGGATGTGTATTACAACACTCTAGGTAAGTTATGGGCTAATCAGACTAATCGAGTGATGTTATCTTTAAGTACCTCTACTTCTCATCAAAATGAGGTAATCTAACACACAATGCTAGTACCTCTGCTGGTGATCTATTTCATTTTTTTAAGAGTATAATAATTCCTGAGTTAAGCAGGAATAGCAGATGTCTGTTTCACATTTGCCACATTTGCTTGTCTAAGTACTGTTACTTGTTTTGCATCTTCTAATGCTACCTCTAGGATCATTGACTCAGGAACTTTGACTTGTATTATTTGTAAGATAAGCATTTTTTCTCCTCATTGAATACTCAAACATTCAAGTCATCTGTTAGTTTGATGATGGTAGATCCGGTGATTTAGTTGGAGAGTAAGAAGAGGAAGAGCAAATAGCAGATTAATCCACCTATTGCATAACCCTAGGTCTGATTGCTAGCTGATCTTGACGTCCATCAAAGGTTTAGTCTAGTTCCTTAAGGAGGCCCCATGTTGTGATTAAAGGTGAAGAGATCTATGTTGAGAGCCATGGTCTATTTAAAAGCTAAATGGTTGTGTTGAGTATTTACCTTGTTTATTTATCAGAAAACTCACAGAAAATTTCCTGAGTGTGAATTTTGCAAGATCTTGAAAATCATGTCGCTTGTCTTGCTTTCATTATATTGAAAATTCTATTATTTTTATCCGAAATGAATGAAATTAGATAAAACAATCAGAAGTTGCTTAAATAAGCCAGATTTTGTAGTGAAGCAGAGCTTATGCCATTATGCTCCATTTTTTAATTGACTAGAGCGGTACGTTCTGGACAATGAATGAAAAAAACTGATGAGGTGATCAACTAACCGGCAGCAACATGGATGGTAGTGGCTCTGTCGGCAATGACAACTTGGACAATGATGGCTCAGCTACTGTCTTTCATTGCTTTCTTTTTTCCTTTCCATTATCAACAGAAAAGGAGTAGCAAGGCTAATGGGGACTCACTGTATCTTTGGTATGAATTCTTGGTATTGCTCCCATTTTCTAGGAGTTCTACAATTATGACTGGTAACTTGTATCTATGATTGCTGATCCCTTGTAGTTTGTAAACCCAATTCAGCTGAGTGGTTGATTTGCAGGTCCTAATCCATTTGAGATTTTATAATTTCCATCAAAACCTACTGCCAGTACATAAAAGATATGATGTTGTGTAATCATGTTTTCTTCATCGAAATTAATATATTTTTTCCTTTTTGATAAGTAATTCATAGTATGTATTTGAACCCCTTCCCCAACAATAAATGTTAACGTGCTGTGCTTATTCCATACAAATATGGTTTCTTTGTTCATAGAAAATTAAAGAAGATTCTGGTCGTATGACTTACTAATTCCAGCCTCATCTCATTTTGTGAAAATTATTTAGTAATATCCATTATCTACGATCACAAAGGAATGGAGTTTCATCCTACAATAGGGTGGTGCTTTTTCTTTTTCTAAAAGTTTCCCCTAGAATTGTTGATCCTTAACCAGCCCTAAACATTTATCTAACTACTTCTTTGTGTTTAAGTATAGGTTTTTCAGCTGATTTTATGATTTAAATTAGAATGAACACCATTGCATGGGTGAAGAGGGTTTTCTTTCCCCCTCCCCTCCCCTCCCCCTTTGATCTGGTGGTTGAAATATCACCTGCCACTACATTTAAGTTTTTTCTTTATTCTTTTAACATTAGTATGGTCACACAATTTTTTAGACGATGAGACGAATATATTTGGCCAGCCAGTGAGAATCAATTTTTGAATTAATATTTAAAATTAATGCATTTGTAGGCATTCATACTTGAACAATTGGCATGTCTGGGCATGCGTTGTATTGTTATATGCGTATTGAAGAGCATACAATTTCTTCTTTTTCTTTTCTCCTTAGCACATGTCTAGGAAACCAAAAATGTGCCTCTCTTGGCAAGGATAGCCATATACCTGATAATTTGGTAGCATACCCTGCCCCTATGGAATGGGTTTGGGGAGGGCTGGTTTGGGTGGGTTTGGATGGAGGATCTACACCCAACTCTAGTTTGAGGTAGGGACATGGAAAGTTAGGTGACTGAGCCCTTGCCCGCCCTGATACTATAGTGACTCATTAAAATGCCCCTCGAGCTTAAAATAACACCTAGAATATAAAATTCTTTTTAAGTTTTCTCATCAGTTCATTCAGCTGACCCCCAATACGAAGTATTCTCATCGTCATTTAGCGCTGCTAAATGTTTCCAGTACTTTCATGTCCTTGTTGCCTATGTGGTCAGGCATCATTGCCATTGCCTTTACCTGCCATCTTACTTGCTCAGGCTGTTGTGGCTTCCTACCATAGAGGCATAGATTTTAAGTTTAGTTTTTGGTTCTTTTTCCTTTTTCATTTGGAACTAGTATAATAGTTGAGTTAACCAGATTTGCTCCAACTTTGTGTTAGAAACTTATAATTTATACTTTTGAATTAATATTTTGGTATTATTTACTTCTGTATTGTTTGTTTCTTTCCTTTTCCGGAATTTGTTTAGTCACCTAGAAAGTTAAGGACACCAAAAAAGAAGCATAATTTTTTTAAATCTTACATGTAAGATGCTGAATGATTGACCCTTATGGAAGGGTTTTGGAGATCTCATTTGCATAGTTGTTAAAGGCGTGCCTAGGCTCCAAAAAAGCCCCAGGCTCGTCAAGGCTCAGCTAAAGCGCCTCAACCTACTATCGGCCAGGTCCTTCAATCAGGCTCACATAAAGCCCTCAGGCTCACACTTTTTAGTAGGCTCCAGTCTCAGAAAAGGCGCGCCTTGTATTTTCTAATCATTTATTCGTATCATTTTCCTTTTTTACTTAATGGCTACTAAATTAAAAGGTTCTATAGCATAAATCGTATTGTTTAACCTTGTGAAATATTTGACGAAATTCATAAATTTATTGTTCACTACTAACATTAACGGTAATTATTGCTTGATTATGAATATATATAATAATATATTGTTAAATATGCATTATTATATACACGCGCCTTACTTCAATCAGGCTCGCGCCTTATACTGCGCCTTGTGCTTAGGCTCCAGAAGGCCTTTGGCGCCTTAGTGCACTTTGAGCCTTTAACAACTATGGCGTTTGCGCATGAGATGGGGTAGACCTGTGGAAACCTGTTATGGGCATGGGACGTGGTAAAAGTACCCTTTTGCTAGGCAGGGTCTGGATGGTAGTTACCTTTTCTCTACCTGTCATGTTACCATTCCTTCTCCTGAGTACCTCACATCCACTGCTTACAGTGCTAAGTTTTTGGTTGCCTTCTTTTTTGTTGTTTGGGCATATGATGTTTTGCAGTTAATGTTTGTCTTTAGGAAACAATATTACTAAAGCATTTGTGCATCCCACTCAACAGGAAGCGTCTGTTTAGCCTGATAAATGATCTCCCCACCGTCTTTGAAGTCGTAACTGAGAGGAAGCCCACTAAGGATAAGCCCAGTGTGGATAGTGGAAGCAAATCCAGGATCAGTATAAAGGTGCAGGTTCAAATTTATATAGAGTATCTGTCTTCACTCTTTACCTTTTCTGTATTTTGGTTTTATAAACTTGACCCTGCTTTGCAGAGATCAAATGATGGACAGTCGAAGCTATATAATGCGGCTTATGAGGAGCACGAAGATGAACATGGTGAAACCCTCTGTGGGAGCTGTGGGGGAAACTACAATGCGGACGAGTTTTGGATTGGCTGTGACATTTGTGAGAGGTGGTTCCATGGAAAGTGCGTAAAAATAACGCCAGCCAAAGCGGAAAGTATCAAGCAATACAAATGCCCTTCTTGCAGCACAAAGAGGGGCAGGCAGTAGTAGTGGCTGAAGAAGAAACTTTCTGGAAGGTTAACCTCATTGCTTTAGCTGACTGGTGTTGTGTTAAAGCAAATATTATATAAGCCTATTAGGATGTATTTTTATTTTTATTATTATTTTTTTTTATGGGCTCTTTTAGTTGTCGTAATTATACATAATAGATCCATTTCCAAATAGTCGAAGTTCGGCTTTTTCCAAGCTTACATTGTTTCTGTCTCTGTATGATTCTATAGTTTCTGTTTCATAAGATGCTGATTGTAATTGTTGTTTATGACATTGTATTCTGTGAGACCCTGTTTCCTACACCATCTTGAAAGCTTTTGACATTTAATTATTTTGGCCTCCAATTGACAGTAATCTAGTTAAAATGTGGTGGAAATAATCTTTCCATTTGCCAATTATGAGAAAAATTCACATTAGTAATTAGGTTGTTTTAGTTTGAAGCTTACCAAAAATAGAAAGCTTCACTAGTTTGAAATTATTATTAAGTAGTTGCATTTAGATTGATAAGTGATAAGGTTAAATTGAGCTTGTTGGATTTAATTGGTTAATATAAATGTGTTGGGTAGCGAATTGTTGTCTGGTCAAGTGATATATATATGTATATATATAATAATAATAAACCAGAAAAGCCCCCTTTTGCCCTTACTGCAATTGAAAAGATAGATGTTACCTTTGAAGGAAATTAAGGAAGGGTGACTTTCCGAAAAAAAAAAAATTTAGGAAGGGTGGGCAATGTCCCATCGATAGCTTAAATTGGTGGGAATAGTTGGGGAATTGATGTGGTTATTATTGATGTTGATGAACCAGCCATGTACTTGGTTGGTGGAGGAGGCAATAATTTGTAATCCTTTAATCATGACTTGACACGTAGCATCAACATATTGACCATACATGAACTTACATTAATGTGTGGTTTGTTTCTTTAAAGAATATGGACTCTAATTGGTTCTCTGAGAGTGACTGTTGCTACTTATGAATCCCACTTCCCCTTGCAACATTTGTTTGCTCCTCTCTCACATCTAGAGTAACAACAAATGAACATGTACTTTGAAGGATTACAAGTAGAGGTTCGCAATTCACCCTTGATGGTCTAACTATTGATATTGGGTAAAGTGAACAAAAAAAAAAAAAAAAAAAAAAAAAAAAAAATATTGTAAGAAAAACATATTTTTGCTTTTTAGCATGTGCATATAATAGGGGGCAATTTGTACATATTTTTTTTTGATAAATTTTATGTACTTGTGGCTGAAAATTTTATCCCTTGAAAAACTTTTTGATAAATTTTATGTACTTGTGACTGAAAATTTTATCCATCCAAAAGGCTGTTGGTTTCAGATTCTCTAGATTTAAGGGTTTGGAGCCTGGATGTGGCTTTTGGTCATCATCTACATTTCTCACTTGCAAACTTTTAGGGACTGAAAAAATCTCTTCCATGGGAAATAAAAAATGAGGGGAATTGTGAAAATCTTGGTGGTCATGATGAAAGGTTGAAGTAGTTTGTGATCATTTTCTTAAAGTATATATGTTGGGTGGGTGAGTCGGTCGGTGGTGGTCTGACTTAAGGTAAGGAGGGAAAAATGATCATGTAGGGCAGATCAACAAAAAAAAATAAAAAATAAAAAATCAAATTTACGTAGCTAAAAATTTCAGGAACATAATATATATTTAATGTTCTTAGTCAATGTTTCAGATTCATAAGATCCCTTTTCTTCTCGATTCAAACGTGATCATTATATATCTTAGAAAATTTCGTTATTTTTTTAGTGATGACAAGGACCTTTAAAACCTGCTTGACAATTTTATTTGCCTAGTCTTTGTTTCAATTATTTGACAAGTTGATTTGTCTGTTTTTATAAATAATAATAATTATATTTATGATGATTTCTTGTAAATTGAAGCTAGAATTCTTTTTTTCGTGTTATACAAAAAGTAATGTTATAACAATTTAAATGTAACTTTCATAATACTGAAAATAACTTTAACATTTTAGAGAAGAAGATTTAGAAGACATTTGAGTCATATCTTAACATTAAGATATATATGATAATAAATTGATTAAAATAGTATTTTTTTTTTTTTTTCTTTTTTTCAATGAAGCAATTTAGGAAGACCCCCCAACATGATCGAAGCATGAGACAATGAAGCAATTTACGAAGACCCCCCAACATGATCTAAGAACCAGTGGACCAACTGAAATAAGCAAGGAAATGTAGGAGCATCAATACAAAAAACTCATAACACCTACGGAATGGACAATAGCTCAGCTGGACAGAGCCAAATTACTTCTTTGAATATACTTTCCTTTGAACCACTGCACCCAGAGAATGTCCGCTTTAGTGGACTAGGTAATCTTTTCTTTTTTTTTTTTTATTTCGTAATGGATGATATCTTTTCTTTTCTTTTCTTTTCCCTCCTGTTTATCCAACAATTATTTAGTTATTTTTTGTTCCTCTATAACAATATACAATTACTTGGTGCAGTGATAATCAACATAATTTTGAGAATTTTCTTGTTTGGAGTTCTCGTAACGAATGTATGAAAAGTGTCACTTTTTTTTTTTTTCTTTTTTTTTTTCCTAGTTAGGAAACTCACACACACTGCTTTTACTGAGGTTCGAACCCCTAACCTCCCTTTGGGAAGTAGGAGCCTTGTACTGTTAGGCCACATACTTGTTGGTGTATTGCAAAATATGACAACTTTACACTAGTAGTTCCAAATTATCCCTCACCAATAATTTCGTTTTTTATTTTTTATTTTTTAAAAAATACTTAAACTTCACTTAAGGGTATTTTGGTTATTTACTTTTAAATAAAAAAAGGGTCAAAATTGACGACAAGGGAATAATTTGCTACAAATTTTCAATTTCCAGAAATTTATATGTACTTTATAAAAAGCAAAATTTTTGATATAAGAGAGGTTTTTCGCACTTTACCCTAATAATATTAACAATATAGCGCAATTACCAAGTTTGTATGAAAAGAACAAAATTGGATACCAAATTGACTCATGCATTATGTGACAAGAAGTACTATACAATTGTAATTGGTATCAAATATTACTTTCTTTGGTTTATGTTCCATCCATGACAAGCCATTTGTAGATCAAATAGTTATGTAACATGAAATGATGATAGCATTAGTTGTTTGATATAGGGCTTCCTTTGAACATACATGGACAAACTTATCATGGAAGTTGCGTTTATCATGTTTCTTCCACAATGACCTGGCATGTTCATCTCCCCCATCTAGTTTCTCATAGTGCATTGGCTGCCAAACTTGTGTAAATCCAGCGACAATTATGCCACCCTATTTTGGCGTATTTTCATCATGACACAGACTCCGTAAAAGATTTTTGCACATTTTGAGGATCAAATGGGACCAGAAAATTAAAGAGACGGAGAACTTGAGCTTGACAATTCCTAGTTAATTAATACAGAGAGAGAGAGAGTGTGTAACGACCCGCATCGTTTCTGAGGACACTTAATTGTGTGGACATTTTTTAATAGACGTGTCCTTGAAGAAAGCCTTGAACACAAACAGTGTGAAAAGCGAATAATATCTGCACAGACATACTATAGTAGTATAGGGGACACACTCACAAGTGCCACAAATTGCAGAGAAATATAACCTACAAATTGAGTGGTAGATCAGTGGTCGTATCAATGATTTAGATCCCTCTTTATGGTGTGATCCAATGAATGTGATTTGGGGGCCTACCTGGTGACTTTGGGGTGATTGTAATTCAACTTGTTTTGTTTTCTTGTGTGAGACTAAACTATCTTTTTCAAAGGCTGAGTAGTAAATGGAGGTGAAGAGAAGATCAATCAAACCATACATACCATACAAATGAGTGGCCTCAAAACAGATCAACTAGGAATAACACATTAGAGGTGAATGGAAAATGAATGTTGTTTCCATTCATAGATTGTATCATGTTTGGTTGAAGTGATGTGCTGTTCAAACTGAGGATTAAGTGTCCACATACCGACAGACATTGACATGTCTATATACACAAAGTTAAAACTGCAAAGGCAAGAGCCCACCAGGAGGTGCTTTTATTGAATCAAATAATAATTGGTCTGCAAGTGGAATGGAGTAAAAGACTAAAGAGGGTTTATTCCTATTCCATGTCACATGGACACAATATGCTCGGACACGGGTTAAAAGTCATATTCTATAGTTCAACTTTATTATATTATTGCTTCAAAATGAATGAAATGTCAACATTTATATTACTTTAAAAACGTATCTATATGTACTTCTATTTAAAAATTTGATACGTCTCACACATGGATAGTATCCGAATACATGTAACATAGATTTATCTTAAACCAGTACAAATTAAAGAAAGGGTTGCTTTTCAATCATGTCATGGTCTAACAAGTTGTTATATGTATATATATGGTATCAAATCAATACATTTACTCTATTAGGTTTATCAAAAAGCCAAGACTCATGATTCCCTAGATCCATTGCAGATTTGCAGGTCAATTTAAACCAGGATGTCTTGGCGCTTATTGCATTTATGTGTGTGTAAATGTGTGTGTCACATGTTTTTGTCAATTGATGGTGGTGAGCCTCAAGATGTCCCTTAAGACCCTTTATGGCTTTCACTGTCAGTATTAGTGGTGAAATTTTCTTGTTGAGGTGACTGGTGGATAAGGCCAAACATGATTTTCATTTGACCAATTAAAGGGTACTGGGGATCACACCAATCACAATCAGGATCTGAAGATCACAGAATTATGAATGCACAACACAGTAGTAGTGGATGTGTATGACAAAAACAGATAAATGTGAGGTAGATCCTGAGAAAAGTTTGTTTGTTGGACATGGCAAATTGCTATTGCTCTGGTTGGCCTGAAGAGGCAAGTAATTGTTGTGTTCAATCCCAATCTGCAATAAACAAAGACACCTCTTTTCTAGTTCCATCATGGCTTCCTTCTAGCGACTCTACTCAATTCCAATTCCATGGACATCCTTCATGGCCAATACCCTTTGAAGAAGGTGGTACAGAAGATAGAGCTGCAAGCTCTTCAAAGAGCCATAGCCAAGCCGAGAAGCGGCGCAGAGACAGGATTAATGCACAGCTTGCAACTCTAAGAAAACTAATTCCCAAGTCTGATAAGGTAAAAGCTTCTCTCTCTTTTATCATTCATTTGTTGATTAAGACTCGATCAGTCATGAATAGTGGTACTAGGCAAACATGTAGAGCAACACTAGTATTTGACCTAAGAAGTGCAAACACACACATACCCCATAGGGATCGAAAAGGGAAAAAAATTCTACATTAAGTATATATCTTGAACGGAAAGTGCTTTACAAATATACATCTATATGATCCTGTTTTGATTTACAATATACAGATTTAGAAAACTGTGAGTACAGAGAGTGTGAAAAATAGACAATATCGCATTGCAACGTTTCAACCGCCTATGGGCCGACGAAGTTGTCGGCACTTAGATGTGTGTGGACTCCTCCTGCTGTGGTAAAGATTTTTCCTTACACTACTCATAAAAGAAAACTACTGCTATTACTAGGCAAACATGTAGAGCAACACTAGTATTTCACCTAAGAGGTTTTAAGTTTAACACACACATACCCCCACAGGGAAAAGGGAAAAAAAATTCCACAACTTTTTACTGCACTAAATTGCTGCAGCCTTATCACTTTATATTGTATCCTCCACAAAGAAGAAAGTGAAATAGATTATAATTGAATTTGTTAATGCAGATGGACAAGGCAGCTCTGTTGGGTAGTGTGGTTGAACATGTGAAGGACCTAAAGAGAAAAGCAGTGGAGGTCAGCCAAGGTTTCACAATTCCGTCGGACGTCGATGAAGTAACAGTAGATTGTGAATTTGACAAAGGTGGAAGCTCCTCCATCAATGGAGAAACAAGCAATGATGATGAGCAGCACATCTTCATCAGGGCTTCCGTTTGTTGCGATGATCGGCCGGAACTGTTTGCAGAGCTGACTCAAGCCCTCAAGGGGCTAGAACTGAGGACAGTGAAAGCAGATGTGTCCAGTTTGGGTGGTAGAATTAGAAGCATTTTGATCCTATGCACCAAGGATTGTAAAGAGAGTGTTTGCATGAACAATCTCAAACAGTCCCTCAAAGTAGTGCTGGGTAGGATTGCTTTGTCCTCCACAGTCTCGAACTATCGCATTAAAAGCAAGAGGCAAAGGTTCTTCTTGCCTTCTCATTGCTGATCATGTTCTTGCAAAAACTTTCAGGGCTCATCACAATCAAAATCATATAATTTTTTTTTTCAATCCTCAAATTTTTTCCCCGACGACTTACTTGGTCTATATGGTTGTTGTAACAAGGGTCATTTGTCTCACATCGGATCCAGATGAGAAATTGATTGGGTATAAATGGGTGGGTATGTAGCACTACCCAACAGTTTGAGCTTTTGGATAAATGGGCAAGCGCTCACCCGTTACAGCTGGTATCATAGTCAGACCCAGTTCCTAATTTGGTGTCACACCAAGCACCCATTCCAGAGGGAGTCCGGATTTGCAATCCGGGTAGGCAGGGTGGCTCAAGCTGCAATAAGAGCGTTGCAAGTTTCGAGTTGGAGTGAAGAAGACTAACAGCTAGAACTTTTGGATAGCTTTTGGTAATATCAGCGGAGATACTATATTTTTGCGTGCTTAAAAGGGATAAGAGGTTACATTTTATAACTAGATGGGCCAACATGATGATCTAGAATATTTGAATTTGATGGTTGAGTAATTACTATACTTTGTCTTAGTTAAACATGGTTGATTCTTACATATTCCTGGGACTTTTATTGATCCTACCTTTATTATAAAACCATGTTTTGTTTGTATTTATTTATCGATTGTTTAGACAACATTTTAGTGCTTTTATATGTGTTTTAGTGTTTTTATATGTGTATTACTTACTAGTATATATATATATATTTTTTTCAAAAAAAAAAAAATTTGTTTTTTAGAACTATGACTCTCAGTTACGATCTTTCAAAGGAAACATTATTTTTGATACAAAGATAGGAATATTATTTTTTATGATTTGAACCATCATATAATTTTTAATAATGATTCAACTTATGGGGTCGACAAAAAGTGTCCGTGATTGTATTTCTTATCAATAGAAAAAAATTTAAATTAAAATTGGGAAAAGACTTTTAACTGAAGTCTTTAATATAGCGATCATCTCTATCGTTGTAGTGGGATGGGTTTTGCCCATAATGAGTTTTGTTGGGCCAGCTTAATGGTGCTATAAAGGCTTCAATTCTGGTTGCAATAGGGTGATAGAGCCTCAAATTTGAACTCCAACTCAAACTCAAACTCAAGTTGAGCCTCTACAAAAGTGATCAAGCTTGGTTCCAACATTACTCGTTAAGTTCAAGTTGGTTGTTTGACTTGTTTAGCCAATTTCAATTCCATTTTTGAGCTTGAGCTCAAACTTGAGTTTCAGACTAAGATTGATTTTTTAAAAAAAGAGAAGTTATGAATCAACAATTTATAAGCAAATGGTATGTAAACAATCTAATTATGAAATATATATTTACGTGTTCACGACCTTATATGAAATCATGTAATTATTGTTCTTCAGCAGAATTCATAAATAAAGTTTGGTTTGAACTTTACATAGTATGCAAATATAGTAGCGATTGTCTCCTTCGAACGGAAATGCAACGATTGTAAAATGAGCGCTATTCACACTTCACTTTTTAATTATTGAATTCTACTAGTTTAAAAGCAAATAACATTATTATTCCTACCTTCATAAATAATAGAATAAAAAACATATGAGACTAGGGTTATGTGTTTTTTATTTTAAACATTAGAAATGGGATGTATTTGATAAAAAGAGAAGCACAAGGATAGATAACAATGACCTCCCTTAGATTTGGACAAATTACACTAGGATAGAATATTCAGCTTTTATTACTTTTGACCATCCTGAGATTTAGCGGTTAACGACACCTCCAAACGTTTTGTTTCCGGTAGACATAATGACCAAATTTTATAAAATGACAATTTCACATTTCCCTTTTATAAAGTGTAATATAATGTATTATAAAAATATAAGGGCATGTCAAAATAATAAATTTTGAATAGTTTACTTGTGTGTAATTTATTCCGATCTAATAAAGTTAGTATAATTATCATAAAAATAATAATAAGTTTAATAACAATAATAGCACATGAACAGTTGTGTACCATACAAATTTAGTTTTAAGAGTAATGGTAAATGAACGTTCACCATGCAATTGAGTGGGAATTAAATCAGTCCAAGTGAAACTTGTTATTTTTACTTACCACTATATATATATTTATATATATATATATGTATATATATAAACATATACAACACCCATCTCACCCATCTCTCTCCCTAACTGCCAGTAGCTCCTTTAGCGGGAATGAAACCGATAACCGTTTGGATATGATACGTCACATGTCCCCAAATTCAGTTTAATTTGTTTCCTCTGGTTCAAGTAGTTGGGTGGGGTACAAGTCACAATACTTTTATGTCCTTCAACCCAAACAACCGTTACATCAGTCAACAATAATCACAACCGTCTAACTTACTGGTCAACCATCTTATTGACCCCACCAAGTCCATCTAACTAAATTTAAATACTCCTGTAACACCTGATTAAATTGTACAATATGTACATCCTATACGGATGCACAATCCTACTCTCACACGCGCAACAAATTTTTTAATTGGTCTGTGATCATTGGTATAGATAAAATAATTTTTTTTTTTCTTTTTAAATTTATAAATTTTTCATACAATTATTTACGTGTTCATTGATTATTCATTCACCCAGATCTTATAATAAATTCTTTATGCACACACCACAAAATATATATATATATATATATATATACACACACATGAAATAACTAATCCAAAATTAACAAGAATGGATCCAAAATTAACAAAGTTTTGTTACTTTTCATAACCCCCCAACATTTTCCAAAAAATTTGCTACAAAAAAACTGAAAATTTTTGTTTTCTTAAATAAAAAAAATGAAATTTCAATTATATATTTTTTTACTTTCTAGAATAATGTATGCTTATGCATAAATTTTGCTACGAATAACATAACAGTTATAACTCTGTATGTCCTTAAATAAAAAAATTAATAAATAAAAAATTAGATTCTTATATTGCTTTTATTTTTTAAAAAAATTACTAAATATAAATTTATTTAGACCTATTGTCATATTTAATAAAAATATGAACAATTCAGATAAATTATAATATTTTTTATCAACTTCCGTGCTATTAAAACTATGAAATGAGACTTTTTCACAATTTTCTTAAAAATTTTCCATGCTAACAAAATGAATCTTATATAAAATTTATTTTTCTTTTCTTCACTTCAGGCTTAGTAGGGGCAATTGCCCCACTAATTTTTTTTTTTTCTATTTGTATTATATACCTAATAAATAAATTTTTTTAATTATATCCCTTTAAAATGTTAAATTTGCCTCCTTTAAAACTTATAGAAAAACACAACTATTCCCCTCACAATATATAAGTATACATACATGTATGTGTGTACTAGTATGATTTTGGAATTATTAAGGAAAAACCATAAAGAAAAACCTAACTGCCACAGTTTCGGAGTTGAATAACGTATTTGGACTTTAATACGAAAAGCCGTTATTCATTCAATCAGTTTAACAAGAGCAGTTATAACACATATCATCAACCCCATGCACTAGAGAGAGAAAGCTAACAAACACACACTCTCTCTATACGTATATTAGTATATATGTATATAATATATAGAGAGAGTAGTTTTGATGTGCGAGCAGTTCACGGCACATGCGAACAACTCCTTATTCAGACGGTTAAGCTTCAACATTACCCTTCACATACACATACATAAACCCTACCCACACAAATTTTCATCATTTCTATTCATTTCCAGTCACAATCGCAATCACATAGAAACCAATAAGATGATGGCTACGGACGGTGGTGATGACAAGATCAAGGGTTCGTGGAGCCCACAGGAAGATGCCACTCTGATCAAGCTGGTGGAGCAACATGGCCCGCGTAACTGGGCCCTCATAAGCACCGGCATCCCCGGACGGTCCGGGAAGTCGTGCCGTCTACGGTGGTGCAACCAGCTTAGCCCGACGGTGCAACACCGCCCTTTTACGCCGGCGGAGGACAACACTATCATACAGGCTCACGCTGTCCACGGCAACAGATGGGCCACTATCGCGCGCCTCTTGCCCGGCCGTACCGACAACGCCATCAAGAACCACTGGAACTCGACGCTGCGTCGACGCCGCCACTCCGAGGTTTCATCGACGTCGACCGAGTCGAACTCGGCGGTGAAGCGGCCGGGTTCGACGGCTGACTCGTCCGAGTTGGACTCGGGGGTGAAGCGTGTGCGATCTCAGGAGGCGGTGCCGGAGATCAACGGTGGGGATGGGGTTGAGACGTCGCTGACGCTGTCACCGCCGGGGGAGGGGTTGAAAACGCCACCCGGGGGTGAGAGAGAGGGGGAAGAGGAGGCACAGATCACGATGGAGGAGAAGGATAAGGATACATGGACGGTGGAGATGGAGGAGACATGTTTGGTGAAGATGATGCATCGTATGATAGCACAGGAGGTTCGGAGTTACATTGACAGCATAAGAGCCAAAGAAGGGTTCGGACTCGGGTTTGAGTCCATGGTCCGAAAGGATCCGTAATTCCAATACCTAACACTAAACTCCACGAGAATTCGGAGTTGGAATTAATTTTTCTTTTTCCCTTTTAAAATGTTTTAATTTTCCTAATCTTTTTTCATGTGAAGTAGAAGTTCACAAGCATCATCATAATGTAGCAGCAGTACAACTTATAAATGAATGTTTAGTCTTTAATGTCTTTTTCTTTTTTCCTTCGGACATCTATTTTTTCAAGCATCATATTCAATCTTTGTTTAAAAAAGACCTATTCTCCTCTTAGGTGTTGAATTCGAAACTCACAAATAATACGATGCAGGTGATTTGTGAGCAATTGTGTATACTAATTCAACTATTAAAATCTTTTTGAAAATTCTCATCTTAGTCTTCAATTCGAATCTCACCAAATAATAAGCCGTGATACTAGCATAAATTTAGTAAATTAGAGTAAGAATGACAGCACTCTTCCTTTGCACTCAGCCAAACGAGGAGTAAGAATGGAGTGAATGGAAACTCTTTCCATCCCTCCTTGTCTCTCTTTGCCCTCCATTTTTCATTTCCTCAAACCTAGAACATCAAAATGAAACTAGATTACTTACATACATTCAGATTAATACAAATCAGACACACCAACACCAGCAAACAAAGTAACATTTTCTGAAACCAACCATTGAAAGAATTAATCCCATCATTAAATGGAAAGGGCCTCGTGTTCTTATAGACAAATCCATGCAATTAAAAGAGAAATTTGTACCATCAAATGCAATGGAAATTACATTCAAAAACAAAATCAAATCAAATCACAATCACGTACAAAAACATAGTGGAATCACCATCAAGGAGTGAAATGTTTTGATGTTGAGTTTGAAATCAGCCATGTGCTATCCTATAAATAAATAGGACCACAGCATCCCTCATTTTCCCATGTGCTATCCTAAATAAATAGGACCACAGCATCCCTCATTTTCCCCCATCTCCATGCAAATTCCAGTACTACAGCACTATATCTGTTTAAAAAAAATATTGCACCCCTCTTAGAGATTTTACGAAATTTCTTACTCTAGAAGCATTAGAAATATTTCTTTAGAGTATTCTAGAACCCAATTCTGTAATTTTAGAAGCCCTTGATTTGATTACACTTGTATTGATTTTAGTCATACATTTTCCAAAAATACATTTTGTAGTGATATTAGGTCATTAGAGTATGGTGAATCGTGCAGTTTTTAAACTTTGGTACAGTTTTCAAAATTTCTTTAAATTAATTGACGTAGTTTAACACCAACAGTAGATTGGTTTTTAATATTATGTGTCAGTCTGTAGTAAATTCAACTTAAGATAACTTAAATAATATTTAACATCCAAGTCCAATTAACTTATTCATAACTTACTCTTTCTCTCAAATCGTGAACTTTCTATCTCCGATGTGAACCAACTTAACCACGTAGTGGCCATGTTTGATTACTCTGGCGTGAAGTATTCTTGTTATTCCAACGGATTCATTTGTAGTTATAAGCACATTCATGCTTATATTGACCATGAATACAGACAAAAATCTAAACGTGATCACCGAATTAAATGACAGTTTTTCTTTGCGACACTTTTCTATTCTCTTATGCACATATTGTTTGTTATGGAATTCTACGTGTTTAGAGAATTGCTTTATAAACCTCACCGTGACTTATTGTAATTTCATGGGACGCGTTAATAATAGGGTTAATGAGATCAATGTGGTTTATTAAAAAAAAAACAACATAATTCTTTATATTACAAATTTGATAATATATATTTGCTGATGTATAGGGTAATTTATATTTCTCTTGTATTCTTAATTTTCCATTTAAACTGGTTGAATGATCTGTTCAGGTCACTTTTTCTACTAGAGTAGATGAAAATCTATTTTAACCATATGGGTAGTGATCAATCCTTTTTTTCTTTTTATTAAAAAAACGAGATACTATAATAAGGAAGGAATCCTTTTTTTCTTTTCATTAAAAAAACGACATACTGCAATAAGGAAGGATAGGTTCCATGGAAACGTGAGAATATCCACCCCATGCCATTGAATAATGAGTGAATGTCATAATTAAGAATTCACTGAAAAACCGCAAGTAACTTTCTAGGAGCATCTCAGCGCATCCCTGTTTGGATAATATCTGAATCGGTAGCGAAGCAACGTCCTTGTTGTAAACAAAACAGGCTACCAAAAGGCGGCCCAACACAACAACAAGAAAAAAAGGCCCTGAAGCCCAACAATAACCCGAAGGCACAACCACCTCTATATTACAATAGAGAGGCAAAACCAAAGAGAGACACAGGGAGCAAGAGCAACACACAGAGCATCACTCAGCTATAAGCATTGGTGCTTTCAATAACCAAGCTAGGAAGTTGTTGAGTGTGCGCAACGAAATGGTTGTGGAATAATATGGATAAATAATCTAGAGGGATGGTTAATAGATTCAACTTGTTATTTTATCCAATTTTTAATTATTTTAATTTTATCAAAATAAAACTAAAATCAAACCACAAACAAAAAATAAAATGCAAGTAAAGTAAATAGAGTTTGAGAGATGACACCATGATTTTATCGAGGAAACCCCAATTGGTAGAATAGACCAATTGTAACAGGAAAAACCTCGTTGGACTTTTTAGTCATAAGATAAACAATCCATTATGTTTGAAACAAAATATACCGAACTTTGACTCAGGTGTGAAATTGTGATCGCTTCACCCCTTTTCTTCTATATCTGAATTTGATGAAGAATGAATGAATTCTGCTTTTCCGGAATTTCTGAATCTTCAATTATGCTTCAATTCCGATGAGATAGAGAACAACACTACTAAATCACTCTTGTGTTTATATGTATGCTCTCAAAAATAAAATCAGATTAATTTTCTGAATGAATAAAAAAAATATCTCTCAAAGATGGCTCTCTAATAGATCTGAATTTTGTATTCAAAAGCCGTGAATAAACCTATGTGTATGACAAGGTTTATATAGAGTTTAGAATGTCCTAATCCCTTTGAAAATATAGAAAATTTCATGCGTAGGACTTAGAAGGAAGTTTGGTTCAAAAAGAAAACAATCAGGAAAAAAGAAAACTGGAAGTTCTGATATTACTGGGACTTCTTGAACCGGTTCAGCCCCCTTAAATCGATTCAAGATGGTCAGTCTCGAATTCAAGATGGATATAATGTAAAATATTCCTTTAAAACTTCCAAAACCCTTTCTAAATGTTCTTACTACCTCTCAAAACTTCATAAAGCATTATTCTCATCATCTCGGAGTGTAGTATACCATGAACAATTGAACTTCTTCAAATCCGCATCCGATCTTCAATCTTGAAATTCTAAACTGGAAAATTACAACTCGATCGAACTTACTTTGACAACGAAATTAACCAATATACAATATATATATTTTTCACAATCTCTCCAAAATATATATTTCACAAAAGTCTCCAATCAGCAGGCATAGTCCGAGAAATCCTCGAATATTTGAACCTCAAGGAGAGCAAACGGCAACTGATGCAGTCCTCAATGAGCTTCCAAATGTGTACAATGGGGTAGCCTCGGAGATGCAAAAAAGTGGGCATTGTGTATATAAAATGTAAAAATAATAGTGTGTGGTGGTGTGATTGTGTATATAAAATGAAAAAATTGATTGTGTATAATAACGTGTACAATGCAGACAATGGTACATAACAACAATTTAGAATATTCAAAACAAGTGTAGAGTTACGTTAGCAATTGTGCAAGCGCTATCAGCAATTGTACTGATGACATACCCCAACCAAATTTACACTTGTAAATAAATTAAACATTTGTAATGTATCTAACTATTTGCATTAATCTCATACATACATGACGTCATCATATATCAGAGTGTCTGATTAAAAGTTTACAATTTAAAATAAACTATAAATCCACCACTTGCAAGTTATAAGAAAACTAAACCGTTAATTACAAGTCACAATATAAAATTCTACTACGATATTTACATTTTATACAAAAGACGTTCCATTATTATTTTTCCCAACCACACTCAAGACTGTAGAACTGGCGGTAGCAACCCAACCTGATACCTGAAAAAAATATAGATATGAAAGGAGTGAGCTTAAAACTCAGTGAATGCAATATTACTACATCAGCATAATTATCTGATAACTTTAATTAAACTTCATTAATATATTTCAGGCATTAAAATTTAGTACTCTCCTTTTAGGTCAGAGTATAGACCTTATATAATATAGTACTTTCTTTCTAGGCCAGAGTATGGACCTTATTTAAATATAATACTCTCCTTCTTAGCCTGGACCTTATTTAATATAGTACTCTCCTTCCAGGCCAGAGTATGGACCTTATATAATATAATCAAGTTATATATATTTTTCTTCATTTCACATAAACAGCTTCCATACTTTAATTCAACACATCCAAGTGTAAACTTCTAGTGAGTATACTCACCTTGGCTACTCCCCCAATTTGTTCACTTATCCTTTGATATGGTCGAATTTGTTTGCTCCTTTTCCTTGCCTTTAATGTAATCTGGTAAAAAATTCTCCTTAATCTCCTTCTCTTATTATTCTCATTTCCCTCTTTTCTATTTTGCTCTTCTTCTCTGTCTTTTCTTCTTCTACAGCTGAAAATCCCACTGTTCTTTTCTTCTTCTTCTTCTTCTTTTTTTTTTTTATTTTATTTTCTTTTTTTTTTACTGGTTAATTCCAAAGCTTCCAATCAAAAGTATTTAAAAATTAATAATTAAACACACACCAACTCACCTTCAACTGCACACACCGCAGCAACACATGTTCCATGACTCAGATATGTATATACATATATATTTTATTTTAAAAAGAAACTTTAAAGACAAAATGTTCCACCACACCTCATTCTTATCAATCCTATATATACATATCAATCTGTAGCTACGTGTTGTGTGTGTGGGTTAGTGTTGGCAGCTCGCAGCTTCTTCTTTAGTCACTAACATAAAAACCATAAGTTTTAAATGTAAAAGTATTAAATATAATAATATATACTAAATGTATTCATCAATTCTGACAATTTTACTATTTATAATCATCAACTAGCCATCACATATGGCATCATCATACCAACATGTAACAATTTTCGTTATTTATTTTTCTTTTCATTTCTTTTTTCATTCACTTGGCTGATGCTACTTTAACTCATAAGATTTA